AGAGAGAACGGAGTAGAGAGAACGGAGTAGAGAGAACGGAGTAGAGAATAGTTTCTGACAAGATTCAATGATTCATGTGGTGCCAGCAGGAGAGGGAGAAGAGAAAAGGAGGAGAAGAGGAAAGAAATTGTTACCAACTCACATGGTTCAGGCTGCAGGAGAGACCATATGGAGTACTTATAGAGTTCAGTTTTCCCTCCCAGGCAGGATATCCAGTCAGTGCCTTCCAGGCTAGAGTGAGTTTTGCTGTGGCCAGTCACAGGCTGCAGGGGTGTAGTGCACAGGTTACCAGTCAGGTCTGCCTTGACTGACAGCCCAACTGCAGGGCCTTCAGTGATGCCGTGTGCTCTGCATAGGCTGCAGACCTTGCCTTCCAGCTTTGCCCTGCACCCTCAGCACAGGCCTTATGCGCAGGCCTTACCAGGGATCTGCAGGTCCAGGCCCAGCCCTTCCCCACATGCACACACACACTCACAGTGAGTTGGTTCTGACCCATATCAATAATTCAGTGAGATTCAGATCCAGGATCTCACAACAGTAATTCAGTAAAGGCACACGAAATCCTCATGCCTAACACCTTTTCCATTTTATCAAGTGAAAGTAGTGCATTTTATTAAAGTCAACTAGAAAAATTTTATTAAAACTCCTCCTATTGCCTTAACTTACAGAATCCTTAGCCATCTCTATTTCTTCTCAGAATCCTCCTCTCTCCTTAAAGGCTTGCCTTCTGTAATTCTAATTGTCATATACCAAGCTCTAGAGAACAGCTTATTTTGGCCTTGTGTGTGACTCAACATCTTTTATCAGAAAAAGAGATTAGTATCCAAGGTGCAGTTTGCAGAACTGAAACTGACCTAAAGGTGAACTTCCAGTTTCTCCTGTAAGAAACAGTTTCCTTCAGCTTTGCTAATTGCAGTCAGTTATTAATGCCTAATCAACATCAGCAGTATTACATACCAATCAAATTAACAAAATTTGCTTGCTGGCTGATAAAAATTTTATCAATTTATCAATGTTTATCAAAACATTGTCAAAGAACAATTGGAATATTACTTGAGCAATCAAGCCTGCTGTTAAATGATCTATTCTGGAACAGCATTTGGTACATACACTTAAAAAACTTCCTACCAAGCCGTTCAGGTCTTCATCTGAATGCCTTTCCGACTCATTTGCTTTAGAAAATATTGACCTTTGGAACTTCAAATATTTTATTATCATGCCAGTTCCCCAAATAGTGGAGTTACTGACTTTGGCTTTATCACGAACATTTGTTTATGGATGATTCAATACCGGTGCTATGGTTTGCTTTGCCTGCAGGCGACTCTGCGGGACAACGCGCTCCAGAAGGCAACAGGGAAGCCGAGAAAGGCGAAATGAATCGAATCTGTCCCGTGTGTCCTCCTTCTCCCTCGTGCACGTGTCCTCCCTCCCTGTTCACCAACGCCCGTGCACGGAATGCTCTGAAGTGCAAACCTACAGACTTCGGCATCTTTGGGAGCCACGCGCCAGCGACACCGTGTAGAGACCTCGCTGGTGACCTTTTACAAGGCTGGTAACAGGCTTCTCCAGCGACAGCAGCCGCGGGTATGACACCAGGGAGGCCGCTATCTCCAGGGCCGGCACAGGGAGCGAAGCTACCGCCAAAGGCCGGCAACAGGCAAGGAACGGGAGCCAGAACCACCGCGCGGTCCTTCCCCGGTGGAAGCGCCGCGGGAGGAATCTTTTCACGGCAAAGCTGTTCCCTGGCAGCATTTCAACAGGTATTTTCCAATCAGATGCCAGCTGTCCGTTGTCTCACCTAGAGAGCATTCCTAAACATTGGAAAAAAATTACCAAACAAAAAAACCACCAAACCAAACACCAAAAATCCCACGGCGTGGCACCACCCCCCGCCACACCCGCGACCGCGGTACCGTACCGTCCCGCACGCCTGCTCACCCCTCCCTCCCTCCCTCCTTTCTTTCTTTCCTACTCCCTCCTCAGACAGGTGCAGTCTAATCCCGGGCTCAGCCGCCGCCCCACCACGTCTCCCTTTCCCTCTGCGTTCTGCTCCCCACCCGCGGCCGGCACGACAGAAAACACTGCAGACCCCAGGGCACCGGAGCTCCCGCAGCCTTTTCTTCCCCGCCCAAGCTCTCGGGATCCAGGCGGGGTCTCCTCACAGCCCATTCCAGGGCCTTCCGTGAGTTTCCCGGCGGGGAGGGCTGAGCTCCCTCCATCGCCCAGCGGGGAACTCGCTCCCCTCCTGCACCGCCCCTCGGGCCTGACGCGAGGGGCGGGCCCGGGGCGGGTCCGGGAGGCCCCGGGCGGCCCCGCCGCGCTGTGCCCGGCACGGGCGGCTGTGCCGGCGGCTCGGGGCGCTCCCTTCCGCTGTTCCAGCGGGGCGGCTCGCGCGGGAGGCGGCGCCATGGGGCTGCACGGCGTCAAGGCGGTGTTCTTCGACCTGGACAACACGCTGGTGGACACGGCGGCGGCCGGGCGCCGCGCCATCGAGGAGGTACTGCCCCTGTCCCCTTCCCGGCGCTAGGTCCGCGGCCACCGGCTCTTCCCGGCCCGGCTCTTCCCGGCCCGGCTCTTCCCGGCCCGGCTCTTCCCGGCCCGGCTCTTCCCGGCCCGGCGGCCGCGGGGCCGCGAGTGTCGCGCTCCCCTCCCCTGCCCACATGCAGCTGGGGGCCGCTCCCGGGAGCGCGCCGCGCGCCCCCGCAGCGCCCTGACGCGCGGCCCCGTGTCCCTTGCAGGTGATCAGCGCCCTGCAGTCCAAGCACCGCTACGGGGAGGAAGAGGCACGCGCCATCTGCGACAAGGTCCAGGCCAAGCTTCTCAAGGAGTGCCACGATCCCGCCAAGATGTGCATCACCGACCTGCGGATCTCGCACTGGGAGGAGGCGATCCAGGAGACCATCGGGGGGGAGGCGAACCGCGACCTGGCGGCCGAGTGCTATTACCTGTGGAAGACGACGCGGCTGCAGCACCTGACGCTGGCCGAGGACACGCGGGGGATGCTCACGGAGCTGCGGAAGAGGGTTCGCCTGCTGCTCCTCACGAACGGCGACAGGCAGACGCAGAGGGAGAAGATCGAGGCGTGCGCCTGCCAGCCCTACTTCGATGCTATCGTTGTAGGGGGAGAGCAGAAAGAAGAGAAACCGGCGCCATCCATATTTCATTACTGCTGCGATCTCCTGGGGGTGCAGCCCGCAGAGTGTGTGATGGTTGGTGACTCTTTAGATACAGATATTCAAGGAGGCCTGAATGCTGGCTTGAAAGCAACGGTCTGGTTAAACAAAGCAATGACCACCCCGGTAGATACCGCCCCAGTACCTCATTATATTATTTCTTCTGTTCTGGATCTTCCAGCAGTTTTACAGAAGATGGAGCACAACATTAATGCTAAGTTAGGAACTGACCATATGGCTAGTAGCAATGAAGCACATTGATGGTTCCAGCATACAGAGACCTGCTGAGCTGTTAGGTGACACATGCTCTTTTAAAAAATTTGACCCCAGGAGTTTGAACTCATGTACGGAATGCTCTTTTAAACAGTAGATGCATGAATAAGAGCACAGTTGTCAGTGAAAACAGGCTAGAAACACAAAATTATATTAGTTTTAAAAGATGTAAGTGCAGTTAGTTTAAAACAACTGCCTCTGCCTGGAAATTATTTTGACAGACTGTGGTAAAAGTCTATCTGTCTCTCACCTAAGTTGCCAGTCTCTTGTTTTTATAATGGAAAAGGAAATGTGAATGTTTTGAGCTTTCACATGCTTTGCTGACTTGTGAGTTTAGTAGATGCTTCAGTGCCGACCTTGTGTGCAGTGTGTAAGAGAAGGTGGGAAAGAGAGTGCGGTACAATCTGGTAAATTTTCACAATTGATCTGCAATTTATCTCAGGAACTGGAGTGAATTTTGCTGTTTCTCAGACCATTAGAAAATGCTCTACTTTTGATTTTTTTTTCAAGTTTTAGATTTTTTTTCAGACTTTGCAGTGACTTTTCGTTTTTGGAATCAGTACCTCTTGCCATAAGTACTTAAAAGTACATTAAAAATTGGCATTTTTATAGGGGACCTTTTATCAGAGGGACTTGACGGATAAGCTTTTACTTTATATTATCCTGGTGCTTATGCAGCTATGCAGTATCCTTGTGATTCAGATTATGATTTTTGTTGGAATGTAATTGATAAAACAGGGATATGTTCAATGATCTTACTGTACTGTCATACTCTTCAAATGCTAATATTATTGTTCTGTCTGATTTTATTAATGAATTTTGATCAGACTTTTTGGAGAAACTGTTCTTGGTCTTGCTCAGGTGTATGACTACTCAGATTCAACTGTAGGATCAGTGCTTTTTTCAGACTGTTTTAATGGCACTGCTATATAATCCCTCCTTACTCCAGTTTCTACATGTAATTCGTGTGATTTATTCTGGAGAAAATATGAGCTAGTTGTTTATAAATGGCTTTCATGATTCTCTTCCAAGAAATTGGAAAATTATGTCATATATATTACAGTACTGTGTACAACTTTATAAGGTATGTGTGATATTTCCTCTAGATGCAGGAGATGTCTCTCTAAAACAGTAACATTTCTCTTTCCCAGATCATTATATTAATTTGTTTTTTCTGTACTTCATATTCTTACTATATAACGGGAAAGTATTCTCATATTAAATGGAAATGTAAACACTTGTTGGAAAATCTGTGTTTTTCTGCCCTGTTTGCTATATATACATTGCGATAAATATCAGACTATGTATGAACAATCAAATTTTATATTTTAAAATAAATCCATGTTAAATCTTTTGAGAACAGATATATTTGGATGCTGGCAGAAGAATATCTGGCATATGGGCAGCAATAAAAGATCAGCAAAAAGTACAGAAACGTACCATAAAATGGATGTGCAGAAGAAATCCTATATGAGAGAGGTTCCACCTTTTAACTTGACATGAATTTAAGTTAATGCAGTTAAGTCTTTCATAGAATGACAGTCATCAGGATGGGATGTTACATCATGAGGGTGTTACTGGTCTGGGTTAAATTATGTGACAAGGAGTTTAAGTTGCATCAACTTATATTGCTCCTACAGTGGGGGGGGGGAGGGGAAGAAAAGGAAATACTTATTAAAGCTGGAACCCCTTTCATCCAATTGTCCCTTAAAAAAGGTAAAGCAGTCCAGGTTCTTCACCCTATCTAGCCAAGACTGTTCAGACATCAGGATCAATGAAGAGCACAGAGACAGGCCCCGCTTATTCCTCTGAGGAAATGGGGGGCACATGCTGAAAATGATCCCATTACAGTGGTACAATAACAAGACTCAGTGGGTCTGACTTGACACACCTTTCTTACTGAAGGAAGAGACCTAAGTTAAAATTTTATTTTGCATTTGAGGAGCATGAAAACAGCCACTGGTTTAGGTGATGAGCAAAGCATTGCTAATAAGATTTCTTTCAACTGAGGATTGACAGAAAAATTATTGTCATTGAGCCTATGAGAGATACCATGTAAAAATAGAAATGTATCCAAAAGGTTACACGATCCCTGAAGTAATGTAACCATACTATCTGAAACAAAAGCAACAACATTGCTTGCATCCCAAAGGAGCTGCAGGATAACTAACTTTGCCTTGTTTGCACAGCAGCAAGATAGTAGAACTTAGGCCAGAATGAGGTTTCTGATACAGCTGATATTTAGAACAGCAAATTGAAATAATTCGCAAGTCTATCTGTGGGCTCGAAAGATATATATACACCAGGTTACCATTTTTTAATCTAAGTTGAGGCTTATATTGTCTTGCCACTGCATCATTCTGAAGTGGCACACTGAGCCTGTTTATTGTATAAAGGGTCTCTCGTTTTAGAAGAGACTGCTCTTTGTTTTGCTGTGGCCAGCTGTTTTCTTACATTGCCAACTCTATGGAAAACCACTGTAACTGAATGCTTAGGTGACAGTGTGGTCTGTAGAGTCCACACCCGAGTATGTTTTTCCATTTCTGAGTACTGTACCAGGATGTGGCTGGTGGCCAAGTAGGTAAAGAGTGTTATGATGCTTCTATAAAACAAGAAGAAACAATAGAAGAGTTTTCTCTGTCTAGGAGTCTTCTTAGGAGCAGACTTACCCAATAAGCTGGATTAGGTATCTGGAGTATCTCTAAATGTTTTTCTTGGATGGAGCTCTTTCAGAGAGCACAATGAAAAATAATTGTATTTAATGAAATGAAAGCATAAATGTAGTGATGGGATAATTTTCACATCAGAAGCAGGAACAGATCAGTAAAACAGTTTATTAACAGTTCCAGTTAAGTTCTGGTTTTGCTTAGTATTATGCTCTATTAGCTAACTTGTCTAGTTTAAATTATATAGCCAAAACATGCTGAATAAAAAGATGAGAAAGAAAGTCTACTTATATTTTTTAAAAATATTTTTTTCCAGATAAATATTACCTCCTGAGTAATCTACAGCAACTTTGACTTTAGTGAAATGAACTGAAACAATAGTTTAATACCAACTGTATTTTAATTCTTGATTTAAAATAACCCATGTACTAGTCTAATAAAAGTATTTTATGTATAAAACATATGTTTTAATGCTCTGTATTGCTGTGGAGAAATACGTTTGAGACCCAGTTTACAACAAAAGGCAAGAGTTTTGTTTCTTTTTAAAAATAGCACAGAATTAGGCTTTAAAATCCATGAATTCACATTTAGATGTGATGACTGGGTGTAATTTCCATAATTTTAAACAGAGGCTGGAATGTAATTATGTCTTTATGAAGATTCTTGGACTGATTGTGTGTGTTGAATTGCTAACTGCAGTTCTTTGCTAGTTGAACTTGACTTACCAAGCTGAATGCCAGCTCAGATAAGCCCGTGTGTCCTGATGTCGTGGCACTGGCTGCTGCAGCAGCGTAAAAACAGGTTGCAAAACAGAGAAGACAAACAGAGACATCTCAAGTCCAGGGCACCCATTCCAGCAGGTTATGGGTGCACGAAGCCGTATCTGAGCTATTGCTGCACTGACTTCTATGTGACTTAGGAGAGGGGAGAGTGGGAG